TCTTTTGATTTTCCTATGATGTCAAGCAAAGAGGCACTGAGCTTGAAGGTAGGCCTTGAAATACATCCACAGGTACACCTCCAATTGACTCAAATGATGTCAATTAGCCTGTCAGAAGCTTCTAAAGCCATGACATCATTTTCTGGAATTTTCCAAGCTGTTTAAAGGCACCGTCAACTTAGTGTATGTAAACTTCTGACCCACTGGAATTGTGATACAGTGAATTATAAGTGAAATAATCTGTCTGTAAACAATTGTTGGAAAGATTACTTGTGTCATGCACAAAGTAGATGTCCTAACCGACTTGCCAAAACTATAGTTTGTTAACAAGAAATTTGTGGAGTGGTTGAAAAACGAGTATTAATGACTCCAACCTAAGTGTACGTAAACTTCCGACTTGAACTGTATGATTTAAATAGATTTCTATTGTCAGATGATGCCCTCTTCATCATAACAGGCAGAATTGAATATTGGTGGTCTTGTAGCTACAGGGTCATGTCCCAAATGGCACCCTATTCCCTACAACAGAGTGCACTACTTTTGAACAGCCTGGTCAAAAGTAGTGCACTATGTAGGGAATATGGTTCCATTTGGGACAGAGCTCCTTTCTACAGTTTCTCCCTCCTCCACAGGCTCATGTAATCAGAAAGAAGATGTCGAACTGGGGGTTTCTGGAGAACGTCCTGAGTGGGGTGAACAAGTACTCCACAGTCATCGGGCGCATCTGGCTCTCCATCGTCTTCATCTTCCGCATCCTGGTGTACGTGGCGGCTGCTGAGCAGGTCTGGAAGGACGAGCACAATGACTTTGTCTGCAACACCCAGCAGCCTGGCTGTGAGAACGTGTGCTTCGACCACTTCTTCCCCATCTCCCAGATCCGCCTGTGGGCCCTCCAGCTCATCATGGTGTCCACTCCCTCCCTGTTGGTGGCTCTACATGTGGCCTACCGTGAGAACAGGGAGAGCAGGCATGGCAAGAAGCTGTATGAAGACAAAGGTAGGATTGACGGAGGCCTGCTCTGCACCTATATCCTCAGCCTCGTTTTCAAGACTACCTTCGAGGTTGGCTCCCTCCTGGCCTTCTACTTCCTTTACAGTGGCTTTGACGTTCCCAGACTGCTTCGCTGCACCCTGGACCCTTGCCCTAACACTGTGGACTGCTACATCTCCAAAGCCACTGAGAAGATGGTCTTCCTCTACATCATGGGCTGCACGTCCATATTGTGTATTGTGCTGAATGTCTCAGAGATGGTATACATCCTATCTAAACAGTGCTGGAAGTGTTTTAGCAAGCGGTATATCCCTATTGAAGAGAGAGCCCACTGGCATTGTCATCACACTGTCCCAATCAGCAACAGTACCTCAACCCTTCATCCCACACCTAACAAAGATATAATGGGCTCACAAGATCCAGCTACAAAGGGAAACCAACTCATCCCCTCTTAAATTGCATTCAATTACCTAATAATTTATTGTGATCAGAATTCAGGGCTTCTTTTAACTTAAATGATTTCAGAAACTCTATGTAAAACTTGGAGTTATTCACCTTTAACCTTTTAACAGATACTGTTACTTTTAGTATCAGGGTCGTATTTAAGGCCTTTATGTCTCAAAAGTGTGATAATCGAATCTAGTATAATTTATTTGAAAACCACCTTAGGTATTATGATTCATTACCCAACAATCTAAAATGGTAGGCCCTATAGGCTAATAGAAAATAAACATGTAGGCTATTTGGATAGTGCTGCTCGTCTGCAATCGACTATCCAAATAATCTATCGGGATAGGCTAAATAATAGATATGGCCTCTCTGACAGGTGTTGGACGTGCAAATCGACTGCAGGAAGGTCGTTTCACGAAATGAGTGCTCTTTGCATCCCTTTGATATTTTATGTATAAATTGTGCACAAATATTGACATTTAAAAGCTTGTTATATCAAATTTAGTGCCCTTTAGTATAGACCATATGGATTTTTAATACGAATAAAGACTTCTGCATTTTGACATGTCCCTCTGCAACTTCTAATTAGATTAACCCACTTAACCCCAACATTTCAAATATTTCACCATCATTGTAAAGCCCTAGTTAATGCATTACTTTTACAGTCACTTCTGACTTTGGTATTATGATTAATGCAGAATAAAAATAATTCAAGCTTTACATTTCCACTTTTGGTGTTAATGGTCTGCATCCCTACATAGACCATGCCTTTTTCCTTACCGACATCACAGCATTCATTTTGTGTTCATGTCATGGTCCCTAGTGGAGTCCATTTGTGTAAATATGACAGTCAGTGTAATTCTAATCTATAAATTGGCAGATTCATTCCATTGCTTTCATCTTTCATGGGAGAGATACAGTATGCTAGCCGTGTTGTGATAAACATAACTTTGTTTGGTATCAATATAACATGTTGAATTTCAGGTAATGCAGAACTCAGATCTTTCTTGATTAATGAAGAATAGAAACCCATACAACTTGAATTTAGTAATTGTGAGTTGTTTAGTGGTCAAGTAATATCACAAATCTGTTAAATGGCATTACTATTTTACACCAAGCACTTAACTGACCCTTTTCTAAATTTGTAGGAGCTCCAGGATTCTTCCATGTGTAATGTATATCTTGTACTTACAGTGAGGGGAAAAAAGTATTTGATCCCCTGCTGATTTTGTATGTTTGCCCACTGACAAAGACATTATCAGTCTATAATTTTAATGGTAGGTTTATTTGAACAGTGAGAGACAGAACAACAAAAATCCAGAAAAACGCATGTCAAAAATGTTATAAATTGATTTGCATTTTAATGAGGGAAATAAGTATTTGACCCCTCTGCAAAACATTACTTAGTACTTGGTGGCAAAACCCTTGTTGGCAATCACAGAGGTCAGACGTTTCTTGTAGTTGGCCACCAGGTTTGCACACATCTCAGGAGGGATTTTGTCCCACTCCTCTTTGCAGATCTTCTTCAAGTCATTAAGGTTTCGAGGCTGACGTTTGGCAACTCGAACCTTCAGCTCCCTCCACAGATTTTCTATGGGATTAAGGTCTGGAGACTGGCTAGGCCACTCCAGGACCTTAATGTGCTTCTTCTTGAGCCACTCCTTTGTTGCCTTGGCCGTGTGTTTTGGGTCATTGTCATGCTGGAATACCCATCCACGACCCATTTTCAATGCCCTGGCTGAGGGAAGGAGGTTCTCACCCAAGATTTTAAAGATTTGACGGTACATGGCCCCGTCCATCGTCCCTTTGATGCAGTGAAGTTGTCCTATCCCCTTAGCAGAAAAACACCCCCAAAGCATAATGTTTCCACCTCCATGTTTGACTGTGGGGATGGTGTTCTTGGGGTCATAGGCAGCATTCCTCCTCCTCCAAACACAGCGAGTTGAGGTGATGCCAAAGAGCTCCATTTTGGTCTCATCTGACCACAACACTTTCACCCAGTTCTCCTCTGAATCATTCAGATGTTCATTGGCAACCTTCAGACGGGCCTGTATATGTGCTTTCTTGAGCAGGGGGACCTTGCGGGCGCTGCAGGATTTCAGTCCTTCACGGCGTAGTGTGTTACCAATTGTTTTCTTGGTGACTATGGTCCCAGCTGCCTTGAGATCATTGACAAGATCCTCCCGTGTAGTTCTGGGCTGATTCCTCACCGTTCTCATGATCATTGCAACTCCACGAGGTGAGATCTTGCATGGAGCCCCAGGCCGAGGGAGATTGACAGTTATTTTGTGTTTCTTCCATTTGCAAATAATCGCACCAACTGTTGTCACCTTCTCACCAAACTGCTTGGCGATAGTCTTGTAGCTCATTCCAGCCTTGTGTAGGTCTACAATCTTGTCCCTGACATCCTTGGGGAGCTCTTTCGTCTTGGCCATGGTGGAGAGTTTGGAATCTGATTGATTGATTGCTTCTGTGGACAGGTGTCTTTTATACAGGTAACAAGCTGAGATTAGGAGCACTCCCTTTAAGAGTGTGCTCCTAATCTCAGCTCATTACCTGTATAAAAGACACCTGGGAGCCAGAAATCTTTCTGATTGAGAGGGGGTCAAATACTTATTTCCCTCATTAAAATGCAAATCAATTTATAACATTTTTGACATGCGTTTTTCTGGATTTTGTTGTTGTTATTCTGTCTCTCACTGTTGAAATAAACCTACCATTAAAATTATAGACTTATCATTTCTTTGTCAGATTGGCAAACGTACAAAATCACCAGGGGATCAAATCTGTACGTGGTCTTACATGTCTCTTAGCCATGACTTAACATTTTTTTTTTTTTTATAGATGATTCTACCAATTTCCCTCAAAACCATTTTTCCTCTGGGGGAATATAACGTTTTCTACTAGCCCTGTAATTTAAACAAAATGACATATCTGAACACATGCGATAGAAAGAAAACCCAGTGAGAAATGCAATCTGTAACAAAATTGTTTATCTCAATTAAGTTAGACTGCTGGTGGCAGTAGTTCATTGAAAAAACAATATTTACACACAACATTGTCTACGTACAAATTAACATTTACAAGGCATATGGAAACAACAACATTCACAAACTATACACATCACATTCCGTTTGTTTAAAGGACAATTTCATTAAATGTCTCATGGGGATACTTATCACATTACATTTTGTCCCGTTTCTCCCCCTCAATTTTAAATTTAGTTTGCAAAGGCAATGTGCTGGGAATATTCATAAATACAAACATGCTTAATTTTTCCTACCAATAATACATATAATATAAAATGAGCTCAATATATAATAGAGACACAGTATTTTTACAGACTCAAGGTTACAGTAAATAACAATGTATCATTTTAAAACAACTTTCACATAGTCCACTGAAAAACTATGGATTTATATTTTGCAGTGAAAAAAACAAAATGAAAAGTATTATTGTTTTGGGCAACATTCTGCAGCAGGTTGAAACCGTTCTAATCCTGAGTTACGGCGTTTTGATAAGAAAAACATTTAGCCAGTCACTTAAATACTAATCTGAATCTATTTCTCTAATATTACTGTGGGTCGCATTTCCTGGAGCTGCTTCAGCAGAGTATCAGCAACATCCGAAAAGGCTTTGTCCACTACAATTTTTACATTTTTAAGTGACGTCAGCTTCTGAGGGTTCCTGAACTCAAGGGTATCAAAGCCTTTTGGGTAGTGCAAGTATGTGTCTGATCTTTTGCACAACACTGTAGCGTTTCTCAGTCGAATCCTCTTCTTCAAAATATTTTTAGATGGGCTTGATTGCTCCAAGAACTTTAAGAAAGACACCTCAAATCCCATGGGCTTAAAGGAGGTCAATGTTTCACTTTGATCGTTAATTTCATCCTGGGTAAGGGTAGTACTAGAGGAGTCATAGTCGGATCCATTTTCTCCACAGTAAACCGCATTACTCCTTGTCAGCCTCTTGCGTTTTACAATTTTTTCAAAAACACTTTTCCGTGGACTTCCTCTCTTACGTTTCACCACCACAGAGCCATCAGATGCAGTTTCTGAACTTTCATCGTAAGAAGGTTTGGTGTCAGACAGTTCGCCCTTCCCCTTTCTCCGTAACACAGGTTTTGAATACTCGTCAAACTCACTTCCTTCTAAGCCTGTGTCTGCTGTGTCCTCACTGTCGGATATGTCTGAGGAGGTCTCAGACTTAGAGTCATCGCTCCTGGCAGTGCGGAGGTTTCTACGTCTTGGGTATTTCTTGCAGAATATGAAGTGGCTTCTCTGCTCTTCTAAGTATCGCTCGGACAGTCCGTGCCCCATGTAGTGCTTCATGATGCTCCGTTCGGACTTCATCACTGAATCACAGCCCTTTATCATGCAGGGGTATTGCAACTTGCATTTCTTTATGCACATTGCAGACGCTTCATCCTTAGTTTTCAAGGAGGGTTTTCCATATTTCGTCCAATTATTTGTCTCTGTTTTGTCAGTTTTCTTTTTGTCACCTCCCTTTTGTGTAATCTTTTTGTTGCTCTCTATGTTTTCTTTCCCATCGCTTGATTTAGTTATTTGGTAATGTGAATTCTTGGAGTCAGGTTTCTCACAATCTTCACTTTTCCGTTGGTTCATCAGTTGGAGTTTGTAAAGGTCATGATGCTTTTTCATGGTGTGCCTCAGCAGGTTTGACTTTGTAGCGTAAGCACGGTCACAGCCTTCGACATCACATTGGAACATCCCATCCACAGGTTCCATTTTGGCGAGTTTTGCCTTGTCATGTTCTTTTTCAATATGTCCGATGTACTTCCAGAAAGCAATGAAGGATGCTGTGCACCCTTGCTGATCACAACGGAATCTGCCTAGGTTGATGTTGGACATTAGAGATCCTGCTTTATCCAGGCTGAACTTGTGAAGCTGGAGGTAATGCTGCAACATGTTCGGAACATCTTGGAATACTCTGGAGCAGTCGCTCACTTGACATCTGAATTCTGTTACCTCGTTTACGTCAACCTCTGGTTCCTCCTCTGTAACCCCCTCCTGCTTGATGTCCTTTTTCTCATCCTGTTCCTCATTTTGATCATTCTCATTGTTCATTTCACATGTGGACAGAGCAGACTGATGGACAGCCCTGTAATGGAGGATTAAATTATGCTGAATTGTAAAGGCTGCTGCACATCCTTGATGAACACAGCGATATGGCCTGTATGGACTGAAAGAATCATTTGCCTCAGACTTCTTCTCTTTCGTCTTCTTGGGAATTTCTACTTTAGGCTTTTCTACTTTAGGCTTTGGTCCTCTCTGCTGCTTGATTTTGGGTGTCTTTTCTAGCAAGGGAGCACAAACCTGAAGGGGATCTGATGGAGCCGGTGTCATTGAATCAGCTCTTTCTGCCAGATAGCCTTCAGATTGTTGACTGAAATGAGTAGGCATAGGCCTAGATGGAACTGGTATGTGTTGTCCGTTTGACCATTGATCTGCATCAGGAGCGGTCATTAAGGGCTGTTGGGGTATTGTCGAGCAGTGTGCGTTCATTTGATATTCAGACATTAGCATTAATGGAGTCTGATCATGCATGGGTATCCTTTGCATTGGTTGCATTCCCACGGAGAGGCTATTATCCTGATATCTCGGGTCAGCTATGCCTTGAGAAGTCTGCTGTTTGAAAGGCTGTGGGTGGTAGTCTTGTTTTATCCTTGCTCCTGAAGTAAACAACTTTTTTACAGTCACATCTTGATTTTGGCTCACATCCGGGAGTGAATTTTGACGTCTAATATTCTCCATTATTGAGTGGGGCGCTGTGGCAATCTGACCAGACAAAGGAGGCTCTGAATGCACACTTGGTTTGTCTTCGTTATTAGCAAATCCAACCGTGTTACTTGACTTGCGCTTCATGATTAGTTCTGCAATCTCCTGCTGTGTCAATCTGTGAGCTGTCTGACAGTGTGCCTTAAGGTTTGAATTTCGGGTAAAGGTTTTATCACACATTTGACAAGAGAATGGGGCAAATTTCCCATGGTTTTTCTTCATCGAATTTATCATCTCATTAGTGTACTTGTGAGTCTTGATGAGATGTTTTAAAATGGCATCTTTTGTCATGGCCCTGTATGTGCAGTTGTCACTCTCACAGGCAAACAGCTTTCTACAGCCATCAGGAATATGTGTATCCTTCTCTGTTGAGACATTAGGCTGGAATGATTCAGTATCATTGGAAATATCAGTGCAGCTAGGTTTTGTGGAGGAATATGTTGGAGCAGAATCACACACCTGTTGTTTGTCTAAGTCTAGCCTCTCTAATGCAGTCTGAATGTCCATCATCCAGTGTTGTTGGTTTGCAGGTGTTAGATTAGGACCAAGATCAACATCGTTTGCAAAAATGTTGGTAGGTGCAGGTGCCTCGTGGTGTTGAGAGGAAGCCTCTCTGAAATGAGTAAAACTCTTCATGGGGGCTGCTCCGTTCATTTGGGCAGATGATACAGAGGGGATTCCGTGATCAATCATCTTGGAAGGCTGAGGACTTTGACGTACTCCAAAATGTTGTACAACATTTGTTGTTGGATTGGATGACAACGGATTCAAACTGGCATGTGTTTCAGTGCTGCTTGTCCGAGATAAACCGCTTCTTCTTTGGAAGTCTCCAGCTAAAATCTGTTCACGCAACCTTTTCTTGACATTATGTTCCGTACTCTTCCTCCGTGTCTCCACCGGTTTGCTACTTGTTGCTGCTGGACTGTTATGAGGCTGAGGGTCTGGTGAAGTGATCTGCAACATGGGGTTTGTCATAAGGTTTTGTGCCAAACTGGCCATTGCAGCCAGAAGTCCATCATTAGACAACCCTCCCGAATTGGAGGCAGAATCAGAATTCCCCTTCACTTCTTTCATCTTCATCAGTGTTTCTGCTCTGAGTAAATTATCAATATGGTCTGTGGGAAGTCTGTGAAGTGAGACGGTAGGGTTGGTTTCTGCAAGCACCTGAGTGATAAGTGGCTCATAGAATGCACTACTGCCAAACCCAGGGTCACATGACTGCTGATGATATCCATCTGTATACGATTCATTTTCTGTCTTCACTTGGATATTTCCTGTGTGCTGTATGACTGTGCTTTCTGGCAAGCGTCCACCAGGTCCATAGGGGCCATAAGGATTTTGGAACGTTGGCTGGGGAATCGCTGAGGGCTCAAACATATTGGGAATATTTGGAGTATCCATAATTTGTTTAAGAATCTCATCAGGTTGTTGGCTGTCATTTGCATACGGTGCAGCAGGGTTATACAGTGAAGATGATGGGGGCTGAGTATTGAGAAGTTGCTCTGAATTGAGAAGATCAAGAAATGATGAAGGTAAGTCTGTTGTCAGGAGGTCAGTGTCATAGGCTTTGCAGTGTAAACGCTTGGACAAATGGCCACCAAGTGATTTGGGATTTGTAAATTCTCTACCACACCTAGAGCAAATGAACTTTCCATCTTTAACAATGGCAGGCCACTTTGTTCTTTTGTTACGCTTGACTTTTTTGCCCATCTGATTTTTTTCAGAGTTTTTGGTGCCATCTTGAGATTCACTGTTGTTTCTTGCTAGCAATTTGTTTCCGGCAAGGACATGCGATTCCATGTTGGTTTTCTGCATTCCTCTACTCCTTTCAGGGGAATTGAAATTAGAACATGAATTACTTTGAGTCTGCGGTGTGTAGGGAAGTGCAGCATTTCCCAGCTGATTTGAGAGACTTGAGTCTTTCAGAATGTCCACATAAGAGGGGAAAACAGGCTGAAGAACATTATCCATAGTTGTTGGTAGCAGTGACTCTGCTGGCCTTTCCATATTAGGTCGTATCATATGACGGGATGGAATAACATGAACATTCATTCCTCCACCAACAGCATCCATTTGTGGCATCCCTTGCAGGTTTGAGGAGGGATATACTTGTGAGTGATAACAATTCTGGTTTTGGTTGTTTCCTGGTGTTTGTTGCCATGGCATACTAGGTGGTGGATATTGATTGGGATTGTTCTCTAGCTGGGAGAGTACAATGGGATCTAGTATATTGTCCATTTGGTTGGGGAAAGCCTGGCTTTGGACAGCAGCTGAATGGGAAGTGTAAGACTGGTTTGAGTTTGGGTATGGGGGTGGCTGAATGACATTGTGGCTGTGAACTGGGACACCATTAGCCTGTTGATGTTGTAGTGGAGCAACAGAGTTACGGTTCCCAATCAGAGGCACACTTGACGGGGCAGCTTTCCTTGCTTTTTCATGTTCCCTTGTTTTTCTCTTAACAAGTTTCCATTCTGTATAAAACTCTGGGTGAGCTGCTTTCATATGCTTGGTAACACTTCTATAGGAGCTGTAGTTGCGATCGCATGTCTCCAAAGCACAGTGGTGTCTCTCTTTCTCTCCTTGGGGTGGGGCAGGAGTAGTTGGTAATGGGTGTTGCTGTGGGGCAGGAGTAGTTGGTAATGGGTGTTGCTGTGGGGCAGGAGTAGTTGGTAATGGGTGTTGCTGTGGGGCAGGAGTAGTTGGTAATGGGTGTTGCTGTAGGGCAGGAGTGCTAGGTAACGGGCACCGTGTATTCTCTGTTCTGCAACCAATGGCTGGCAAACGAGTTACTAGTGGAAGAAGTGTGTGAGAGACAGATGGGAGAATTTGAGGCATTGGAGTTGACATGTAATGGGAGGTCTGGCTTGCTGCTGACATGTTGTTAACAGACATGTGTGGTTGTTGTAGTTCTTGCACTGGTACTTGGTAGTCAGAATTGTAGTTCCTGGATTCATAATTTCCACCTTTGAGAAAACTCTGGACCTGACCTTGAAACACACTTGGTTGTTGGGCATGATGCAAATCCCCAGGATATTGGTATGAAGCTAATGGAGGATTATGTGGTGTGGGTCTCATATAGTCATATGCAGCAGTCTCTGAGGGGTCTTGGGGTCTATGTCTCAGCTGATTTGGGTCATGTGTTTGTGCATTTGTGGTAGACCGAATAACAGAGCTTTCTGAACATGGGTACAGTTCTTTTACTGGTGGCTCACTTTGAATAATGTATCGTCGATCATTCTGAACAGGACCTTGAGAAGCATTCAGCAGGTTGTCAATCGAGTGCTTCACCTCAACAGATGCTGGTGGATGAGAAGCCTCAACATCCTCTGAGAAGGAAGCCTGATCAGAAAGCATCCTCTGGTCCAGAAAATGAGAAAGGTCAGAGTCTGTAGCTGAGTATTCCTCCACTTTTGCGACATGTTCCTCCTGGTGCAGATCCAACTGTGACTGAGAATGGAACACTTTACCACAGTTAGGGACTTTGCAGGTGAACGTTTTGTAATGCTGTGACTCATGGTCGTAAAGCTTGTAGGCTTCATTGAAAATCTTACCACATCTAGGAAACATGCATCTGGCTTTAAATATGACATGTTCTTTTCTGTGTACAAGCAGCTCTGTGTTGGAGAGAAAGCTGGCCTTGCAGTTTAACTGTATGCAAATGTAAGGTCTGACACCACAGTGCACTTGCAAATGATCGTTAAGGTGGGTGACATTAACAAACTGGCGACGACAATACTGACAAATCACCTTTTTGTTCTGCATTTCAAGGAAGCGCTTTGCTTCATCGTTATTTCCATGTGCTTTCACATGGACAAGAAGATTTCGGAAATACTTGAATCCCTTTTTGCAGTTTGCGACAGGGCATGTGTTTTCCTCAGTGCTGCTTTCTGTCATAAGTCCAGAGACTTTGGTCTGAATTGATTCTGTCTGAAGCGACTCGCCATTGTGTTCTTGGGAATCGCTGTTTGCATCTTTTGTCCAAAGTAGATTTTCAGTCTTAGCTTTCAGAGCTGCAATAACAGGAGCAGCTGTTTTGGGATTAGCCAATTTTTTATTAGTTTTAATTGCAGCTAATCTTTCCTTGCATGATAGCTTTACATGTGATGCCACGTGTGGTTCCAATGTGTCTTTTGAGGTGAACGTCTCAGCGCATATCGGGCAGCTATAAAGTCCACCTTTGTAGTGAGTCTGTGCATGACGTACAATCCTGTGTCCCAGAAACTCCTTGTCACACAGAACACAGTACTGCATATATGCCTGCCAGTTTCGAAACCTGGCAGAGATGAACCCTTTCTCTCTCAGTTTCTTTGTCTCTCTGATTTTCTGTCTTTTATCGGTTATTTCATTCAGTTCATGTGTGGTGTCCATGAAGTAGTCTGTGACGTCTCTGAACACTTCCTCACCCTGGGCTGTGTCGTCCTCCTCCTCAGGGGTCTCTGGGATCTCATTGTCATTCAGTAAGTCAATGGACGACACAATGGAGGCCTCCTCGCCCATAAGGGTCAGGCAGTGACGCTTCAGTGTCTTCCAGTCCCAGAACTCAGGGTCAAAAGGCCACTGGGTCTTGAACACCAGCAGGAGCTCACAGCGGAGCGAGTTGGGCACAGGAAGACTCTCCTCCTCCAGCTTCTGGTCTGGCTCGTTGTACAGAGTCTCCACGGCATAGTAAGAGTCCACCGTGGGTTCCAGGAGGAACTGTGTCAGCTGGCAGGCCCGCTTTATCTCCAGATCAGTGGGCAGCAAACAGGAGATGGTTTTGCAAATGGTGGCCTTGGTGTTTCCATCACTTGATTCCAACTGTAGAGCCCGTATGCACATGTCAACGCACACTGGCAGTCCAACCTTGTCCACCTGTAAAAGAAAAACAAGGAGGGAAATTCACTCAATTTTAATTGCCTGTGAATTAATCAAGAGAGCACATACAGTGAGGGAAAAAAGTATTTGATCCCCCTGCTGATTTTGTGCGTTTGCCCACTGACAAAGAAATGATCAGTCTATAATTTTAATGGTAGGTTTATTTGAACAGTGAGAGACAGAATAACAACAACAAAATCCATAAAATGCATGTCAAAAATGTTTTAAATTGATTTGCATTTTAATGAGGGAAAGAAGTATTTGACCCCTCTGCAAAACATGACTTAGTACTTGGTGGCAAAACCCTTGTTGGCAATCACAGAGGTCAGACGTTTCTTGTAGTTGGCCACCAGGTTTGCACACATCTCAGGAGGGATTTTGTCCCACTCCTCTTTGCAGATCTTCTCCAAGTCATTAAGGTTTCGAGGCTGACGTTTGGCAACTCAAACCTTCAGCTCCCTCCACAGATTGTCTATGGGATTAAGGTCTGGAGACTGGCTAGGCCACTCCAGGACCTTAATGTGCTTCTTCTTGAGCCACTCCCTTGTTGCCTTGGCCGTGTGTTTTGGGTCATTGTCATGCTGGAATACCTATCCACGACCCATTTTCAATGCCCTGGCTGAGGGAAGGAGGTTCTCACCCAAGATTTGACGGTACATGGCCCCGTCCATCATCCCTTTGATACGGTGAAGTTGTCCTGTCCCCTTAGCAGAAAAACACCCCCAAAGCATAATGTTTCCACCTCCATGTTTGACGGTGGGGATGGTGTTCTTGGGGTCATAGGCAGCATTCCTCCTCCTCCAAACACAGCGAGTTGAGTTGATGCCAAAGAGCTCCATTTTGGTCTCATCTGACCACAACACTTTCACCCAGTTCTCCTCTGAATCATTCAGATGTTCATTGGCAAACTTCAGACGGGCATGTACAGTGGGGGGAAAAAAGTATTTAGTCAGCCACCAATTGTGCAAGTTCTCCTACTTAAAAAGATGGGAGAGGCCTGTAATTTTCATCATAGGTACACGTCAACTATGACAGACAAAATGAGAGAAAAAAATCCAGAAAATCACATTGTAGGATTTTTAATGAATTTATTTGCAAATTATGGTGGAAAATAAGTATTTGGTCAATAACAAAAGTTTCTCAATACTTTGTTATATACCCTTTGTTGGCAATGACACAGGTCAAACATTTTCTGTAAGTCTTCACAAGGTTTTCACACACTGTTGCTGGTATTTTGGCCCATTCCTCCATGCAGATCTCCTCTAGAGCAGTGATGTTTTGGGGCTGTCGCTGGGCAACACGAACTTTCAACTCCCTCCAAAGATTTTCTATGGGGTTGAGATCTGGAGACTGGCTAGGCCACTCCAGGACCTTGAAATGCTTCTTACGAAGCCACTCCTTCGTTGCCCGGGCGGTGTGTTTGGGATCATTGTCATATTGAAAGACCCAGCCACGTTTCATCTTCAATGCCCTTGCTGATGGAAGGAGGTTTTCACTCAAAATCTCACGATACATGGCCCCATTCATTCTTTCCTTTACACGGATCAGTCGTCCTGGTCCCTTTGCAAAAGCCCCAAAGCATGATGTTTCCACCCCCATGCTTCACAGTAGGTATGGTGTTCTTTGGATGCAACTCAGCATTCTTTGTCCTCCAAACACGACGAGTTGAGTTTTTACCAAAAAGTTCTATTTTGGTTTCATCTGACCATATGACATTCTCCCAATCCTCTTCTGGATCATCCAAATGCACTCTAGCAATCTTCAGACGGGCCTGGACATGTACTGGCTTAAGCAGGGGGACACGTCTGGCACTGCAGGATTTGAGTCCTTGGCGGCGTAGTGTGTTACTGATGGTAGGCTTTGTTACTTAGGTCCCAGCTCTCTGCAGGTCATTCACTAGGTCCCCCCGTGTGGTTGTGGGATTTTTGCTCACCGTTCTTGTGATCATTTTGACCCCACGGGGTGAGATCTTGCGTGGAGCCCCAGATCGAGGGAGATTATCAGTGGTCTTGTATGTCTTCCATTTCCTAATAATTGCTCCCACAGTTGATTTCTTCAAACCAAGCTGCTTACCTATTGCAGATTCAGTCTTCCCAGCCTGGTGCAGGTCTACAATTTTGTTTCTGGTGTCCTTTGAGAGCTCTTTGGTCTTGGCCATAGTGGAGTTTGGAGTGTGACTGTTTGAGGTTGTGGACAGGTGTCTTTTATACTGATAACAAGTTCAAACAGGTGCCATTAATACAGGTAACGAGTGGAGGACAGAGGAGCCTCTTAAAGAAGAAGTTACAGGTCTGTGAGAGCCAGAAATCTTTCTTGTTTGTAGGTGACCAAATACTTATTTTCCACCATAATTTGCAAATACATTCATTACAAATCCTACAATGTGATTTTCTGGAATTTTTTTCCTCAATTTGTCTGTCATAGTTGACGTGTACCTATGATGAAAATTACAGGCCTCTCTCATCTTTTTAAGTGGGAGAACTTGCACAATTGGTGGCTGATTAAATACTTTTTTCCCCCACTGTATATGTGCTTTCTTGAGCAGGGGGACCTTGCGGGCGCTGCAGGATTTCAGTCCTTCATGGCGTAGTGTGTTACCAATTGTTTTCTTGGTGACTATGGTCCCAGCTGCCTTGAGATCAATGACAAGATCCTCCCGTGTAGTTCTGGGCTGATTACTCACCGTTCTCATGATCATTGCAACTCCACGAGGTGAGAACTTGCATGGAGCCCCAGGACGAGGGAGATTGACAGTTATTTTGTGTTTCTTCCATTTGCGAATAGTGGCACCAACTGTTGTCACCTTCTCACCAAGCTGCTTGGCGATGGTCTTGTAGCCCATTCCAGCCTTGTGTAGGTCTACAATCTTGTCCCTGACATCCTTGGAGAGCTCTTTGGTCTTGGCCATGGTGGAGAGTTTGGAATCTGATTGATTGATTGCTTCTGTGGACAGGTGTCTTTTATACAGGTAACAAGCTGAGATTAGGAGCACTCCCTTTAAGAGTGTGCTCCTAATCTCAGCTCATTACCTGTATAAAAGACACCTGGGAGCCAGAAATCTTTCTGATTGAGAGGTGGTCAAATACTTATTTCCCTCATTAAAATGCAAATCAATTTATAACATTTTTGACATGCGTTTTTCTGGATTTTGTTGTTGTTATTCTGTCCCTCACTGTTCAAATAAACCTACAATTAAAATGATAGACTGATCATTTCTTTGTCAGTGGGCAAACATACAAAATCAGCAGGGGATCAAATACTTTTTTCCCCTCACTGTAGAACAATAGGGGTGGAGTTCTGGCTACACAACGCAAAAAAAAACAGCGTGCCATGTTTTTCAGTCTACATACACCTAGAAATAATGAATGTATCAGGGCAGAAGCTTACCTCTGATTGAATGACTTTGATGAAGAAGAGGATGTGGAAGACGGTTGTGGACAGCAAAGACATCTGACGACATCTGTCCAGGAACGTCTCTACAGATGACTCCATCCGCTTCAGCAGTTTGCTCCAAAACAGTGTCAGCTCCCTGGAGAGGAAAGATATAAACAAACTATCTTAATAACAATAATTATATATATATATATTCTATAATACCTGAATTATCTGAAGAACTAAAGAAGAGATTGTGCAGTGCGTTTATTTTGTTACTACTGTATTTTAAATTGAAATGGGTAATAACACAATATTAATACATTTCATATGTCAAACAGAGATAGGAGGGGTGGGCTTTAATGCAAGAAATGTAGCGCTGTGATCTTACCAGGCACAGTAAGTGTCTCCTTGGAGAAGCTGACGTGTTAGAAAGGCAGAGCATAGGCTGAAGGCTCCCCTCTCATCCCCTTCCGACTCCAGGTTACAGATCATTTCTAGTGCATCACGGCAATCAACCTTGGAGAGCTGTCGATAAAAAGGAAGAGATACATTGCATTCAAATGATATTTCAATGTGGTATCCAACAGTTTCCTCTTGTCTGCCTCAAGCTGCATATACATTTTTTCCATTGAATGGCCTGCCCTCTTGTGGACAAAAGTCTCAATTGTATATACTAAAAAACAATAGAGGACAGAGCCATTCTGATTGGTGCAATGAATCCACGGAGGCCTGACAGTTAAATCATTAAAATATATATGGGTCCTGTTCAAAAGTTGTGGACTATATAGGGAATAGGGTGCCATTTAGGACCCAACCTGTTTCTAGCAGACTGTCCCAACCTACCTCCTCCATTAGTGGTTCCTGTGCTGAGGCAGAGCACAGGCAGACCAGGTACATCTGCTTAAAGTGCCCTTTTCCTTCAAACTCAGGACACTCTGCACAAGCCCTTGCCAGCAGTGCAGCCCTCTCCATGTGGTTCTCCTTGATAAGGTGCTTTACTCTCATCTCCAGAAGAATGGGTCCCTCCAGTTGAAGGAACTTGTGAACTAAAGAAGAGGATATTCAGATTCGTACAGAGACAATACAAATACAATTCTGATATAAAATGCTGGTTCAAATGTACAAGACTTGAATAACAACTAGTATCCAAAGTTGTTCCTGGATCTAGACGCACTGTTGTGCACAGGGATTTCTTTCTTTACAGTGGTAAAAGAACACTCACCCTCCTCTGTTTGTGGCGACTCGTTAGAGAGGAGACTGTGCAGGGTGCTGTTGGTCCACACACCAGTCTCCTGGGCCACGGCAGACAGGAGGGCCAGCTGTGTGATGCCATTCTCCTTCAGCTGGGAGTGGGCTGACTGCAACACACAGGATTCACTCAGTTACAGTATTCTCAAAGCCGTAGGTACTTTAAGAAGCAATTACGCATGAGTACTAAGGAGAAAATTAGTGGTGCATCCTTGCAACACACACAATATTATCTCAAAAACAGACCAAAAAATGGTATCTTATCTTAAAAGACTGTTTCCTGAACAGATGAAGTAATACAGTAATCCTACAGGGTAGTTTACATCAATATCGCATTGAAAATAAAAAGGAAACATTTCATCCTCTGCGTGACATGACTAAGCATTTTACCTGAACAGATGACTTGAACTCTTCCCACAAGGCATCTGGGAAATGTTCTGGCAGGGAGAGCAGCAGCTCTACACAGCTCCTGAACAACCAATATGAAATCAAATGAGCCACCCAAACAGCTCATTTCATGATGACTAAAGCCTTTATTTTGTGCAGTGATTTAAACATGATCATCTGAAGAATAAAGGCACGTCTGATTGGTAATGATCAAGAATCATAACAAAGCACTGTAAAACAAATAGCTGGAGGTGGTGTTAGCTAACTTTAACCAATGTTTTATACGATACAATTCTACATCTGAAATAAGGTATAGTACAGTAATTCATCTGATGTGCATTTCAAATTATGTTCTTCTAAAAATCTCATGGGTACTGATCTTACATGGAGAACAACAAGCAGGTTAAACCCCTTCACCAATAAGACAGGCATACTCACAGTGAGAGACGTTCAAGTACAAGGGGGACGTTTTCACACTGGGAGGAGAGGCAGGGGGAGGCCTGGGCATAGCTCAGCAGGGCCACTGTATACACCTCCACCAGGGGCAGGGGCTCCTCCTCCATCCTCCATCGACCAGCATACTCCACCAGAGTCTAGAGAGAGCGAGCGAGGGGAAGGTTACACTCAATTTTCTCTTATGCACTAATGATGTCATCCACAGAGAGCTATCCACAGAGAGCTACAGATGTTTGATATCTTTAGATGCAATATAGTGCCTATCACTCTACTACTGCCTAAATTAATTTGCAACAGGAGGGGGCCAAATTGCTACAATTAGCCTACAAATGTTTGTTGTATGTGAAATGACAAGCAGTTGTAATGCAACCTGTTTAGACCAGTAGAATAAAAGACTGAGCTAAGCTACCAACCACTTCTTCATTCATGGTGGATGTGGTTTAACAAAACTTGAGGCAACGTTTCTCCAACATCCTAAGGAATAGGTGTAGCCCCTTTCCATCAAAGCCGAGAGGGCTGGGCAGATGCCCACACAGAGAGCAGTGAGACCCTGGAGAGGCAAGACAGACAGATGGGCCTGGAGGAGAAGCCATGTTCTGAGCAGCATCAAAAGTTCTGACAGCTTCTCTGTGTCAGGCAACTCCTCCTCAGAGAGAACTAGGTTATAAATAGGTTCATGAGAACTGTGCAATGACGAATAAATCTGATTTAAGTGAGAAACCATACAACTTTATTCTGCTCTGGATGGAGAGGGCCAACACATTTCATGGCCTATGCTACATGTGTGTTATTATTAGCTACCCAGTATTGTTGAATTATTCACAATCTCAGTGTACCTTGGCATAGAAACAACAGTCTACGTTATTGTTAACGCCGCTGCATGGATGGACTTCGTCTCAGATGGCTCGGTAACAAAAGCCTGCTAGTGGAAAAAGCCTTTGCAGATTGGTGAGGCTATGGAGAATTCTCTCCAGTAACAGCTCCCTCTTTAGCTCTTCAGGAAATAAAGGCTAGCTGGAGACATGGCTGAGGCTAGCTAGATGCTAGAACATTGGGCTGGGCGATATGGCCTAAAAGAAATCTACATATTTTTTCAAATTTATGGGTGATTCACTATATATATATATATATATATATATATACACAGTGGGGAGAACAAGTATTTGATACACTGCCGATTTTGCAGGTTTTCCTACTTACAAAGCATGTAGAGGTCTGTAATTTTTATCATAGGTACACTTTAATTGTGAGAGACGGAATCTAAAACAAAAATCCAGAAAATTACATTGTATGATTTTTAAGTAATTAATTTTCATTTTATTGCATGACATAAGTATTTGATCACCTACCAACCAGTAAGAATTCCGGGTCTCACAGACCTGTTAGTTTTTCTTTAAGAAGCCCTCCTGTTCTCCACTCATTACCTGTATTAACTGCACCTGTTTGAACTTGTTACCTGTATAAAAGACACCTGTCCACACACTCAATCAAACAGACTCCAACCTCTCCACAATGGCCAAGACCAGAGAGCTGTGTAAGGACATCAGGGATAAAATTGTAGACCTGCACAAGGCTGGGATGGGCTACAGGACAATAGGCAAGCAGCTTGGTGAGAAGGCAACAACTGTTGGCGCAATTATTAGAAAATGGAAGAAGTTCAAGAAGACGGTCAATCACCCTCGGTCTGGGGCTCCATGCAAGATCTCACCTCGTGGGGCATCAATGATCATGAGGAAGGTGAGGGATCAGCCCAGAACTACACGGCAGGACCTGGTCAATGACCTGAAGAGGTTTCTGTAACAAGAGGTTTCTGTAACAAATATTAAGTTCTGCTTTTCTGATGTATCAAATACTTATGTCATGCAATAAAATGCAAATTAATTACTTAAAAATCATACAATGTGATTTTCTGGATTTTTGTTTTAGATTCCGTCTCTCACAGTTGAAGTGTACCGATGATAAAAATTACAGACCTCTACATGCTTTGTAAGTAGGAAAACCTGCAAAATCGGCAGTGTATCAAATACTTGTTCTCCCCACTGTGTATATATATATATTTACAAGCCCTTATTTCTTTAGATTATTCCTGACTGTTTGAAATGCATTTACCTTTTTTAAAATGTAAAAAATAATATATATATATATATATTATTTTTTTACATTTTAAAAAAGGTCAATGCATTTCAAACAGTCAGGAATAATCTAAAGAAATAAGGGCTTGTAAAATTATACCTAGGCTAAATATACAGTGCTTTCAGAAAGTATTCACACCCCTTGACTTTGTTACAGCCTGAATTTAAAATGGATTAAATTGAGATTGTGTCAATGGCCTACAAAAAACACCCGATAATGTGAAAGTGGAAGTGTGCTTTTAGAAATTTTTACAAATTCATTAAAAAAGTGAAAAGCTGAAATGTCTTGAGTCAAAAAGTAGTCACCCCTTTGTTGTGGCAAGCCTAAATAAGTTCAGGAGTAAAAATGTGCTTAACAAGTCACATAATAAATTGCACAGATTTCCTTTTAATGACTACCTCATCTCTTTACCCCACACATTCAATTATCGGTAAGGTCCCTCAGTCAAGCAGTGAATTTCAAACAGATTCAACCACAAAGACCAGGGAGGTTTTCCAATGGCTCGCAAAGAAGAGCACCTATTGGTAGATGGGTAAAAATAAAAAAGTAGACATTGAATTTCCCTTTGAGCATGGTGAAGTTACTAAATTACACTTTGGATGGTGCTTTAAAACGGTTACAGAGTTGAATGGCTGTGATAGGAGAAAACTGATGGATCAACAACATTGTAGTTACTCCACAATACTAACATACATGACAGTGAAAAGAAGGAAGCCTTCACAGAATACAAATATTCCAAAACATGCATCCTGTTTGGAATAAGGCACTAATGTAAAACTGCAAAAACATTGGCTAAGAAACTAACTTTATGTCCTGAATACAAAGCGTTTTGTATGCCGCAAATCTAAACACAACGCATCACTAAGTACCACTTCATATTTTCAAGCATGGTGGTGGCTGCATCATGTTATGTGTATGCTTGTCATCGGCAAGGACTAGGGAGTTTTTTGGGGGGGATAAAAAGAAACGGAATAGAGCTCAGCACAGGCAAAATCCTAGAGTAAAATCTGGTTCAGTCTGCTTTCAAACAGACACTGACAGACAAATTCACCTTTCAGCAGGACAATAACCTAAAACACAAGGCCAAATATACACTGGAGTTGCTTACCAAGACAACATTGAATGTTCCTGAGTGGTCTAGTTACAGTTTTTACTTAAATTTACTTGAAAATGGCTGCCTAGCAATGATCAACAACCAACTTGACATAATGTGCAAATATTGTACAATCCAGGTGTGCGCAGCTCTTAGAGACTTACCCAGAAAGACTCACAGGTGTAATCGCTGCAAAAGGTGATTCTAACATGCATTTACTCAGGGGTGTGAACACTTATGTAAATGTTATATTTCTGCATTAAATTTGCAATAAATGTGCAACATTTTCTAAAAACATGTTTTTATTTTGTCACTATGGGGTACTGTGTGCATATGGTTGAAAAATAATATATTTATTACATTTCTAATTCAGGCTGCAACAAAAAAATGTGGACTAAGTCAAGGGGTAAGAATACAGTGCATTCGGAAAGTAGTCAGACCCCTTGACTTTTTCCACATTTTGTTACAGCCTTATTCTAAAATTGATTTTTTTTTTATGTCCTTAATCTACACACAATACATTGGGTTGTTTGAGTGGCACGCCATATTGCCAATTTTGACTATGTGGCTGTGGAATCTTCGTCTGGCTGATAGCTCTCACAGCTCTTCCATTCGCTGTCTAACTACGTGCCTGCAGATCATCATGTCAATTCAAACACTCAGGTAATTAGAACTAGCATTTGGCCTAGCTAGGCCAAGGTAGATAAGGTAGGTTGACCAGCCTCATCCTGAGCATAGCTGACTAACGTTAACTTAGCTAGCTACACAGCCACAAATCTTTGCTTACTAGCCCACGTGTATGGTAGCTACATTTGAGCTGTGACTGATCAGTAACTTTCATATTTGGCTAGCTAATGTTATTTAAGTCATAACGCCTGAAAAGCCGGTGTTTGGAGGATATATTGGCATGGGTGTTGTTAGGCCAGCAAACTGTGCCAATATATCCTCCAAACACCGGCTTCAAGGGCATTATCACTTTTATACAACGGGTTAATAACATATTCAAATAATGATTGACATTTTCATACAAAACATTGATGAATTTATTCATACCATTTCATTCTTCCACGAGATATAGTCCCGACACAAATCTATGGTTGCTACCCAAGTCGGCTGGTCGTTCGTGCTATCGGTTCGGTTGCCAGAGACGCAACCCAGCCGTTAAGTATTTTTTTCTGTATCTATGGACATAGAAAATGTGCTCTCTCGTCAGGTCACTGTTGTTCAGAGGAGCTAGCCAACAACACAGCTAAAACTTCAAATTGAAGCTGGAAAGACCGCAAACTAGCTGCATCTCGTTTCGTTTTCCCTGTTTTCTATTGACATTTCTTTGTATATATCCATAAAAATTATGCCAGCTGATTCATGATTTTGACCTGCTGAGATTTAATTTCAACATTGAAACAATGTTGCAAATGTCAGAGAAACAGACAAAGTTTATACAAATCTCTGCTGTTGAAAACCAAATGCTAGCCTAAAAGAAATGGGAGATAATGTCTAGATGCTTTTTATAGTGGAGATCAAGTTTATAACTTGCCTGGCTGGGCTGGTGAGACAGTGGATTGCGCAGTGAGATGGAACAGAGTAAATAGGCATTTCAATGTCATAGCTTTAGCCGGTGGTAACTTGTGGAATAGACACCGGCTGGAATACGGTTTTAACCAATCAGCATCCAGGATTAGACCCACCCGTTGTATAAAGCTAGTTACTACAGGGTGAATGTGTTACCTTGTCGGGCAATGATGAATGCCCCAAAATGTCAAGCCCCAACTTGGGCATCATCTTGACGTGTCTCTGAGATCAGAGGTCCCCTGGACTAAGACTCCAACAGTTCCTGGAGGATGTTGGATCAGAGAAGACCTTCAGAAATGTGCCACTGCAGAAAAGAAAATGACGACGCTGCCTTCAGGGAAGTGAGAGAGAAGCTTGTGGATGATGTCTGTCATTTAGTGTCTCAGCATTTTGGAAACCTGGAAATGGGAATCTTGAAAGCAGCCTCCCCTCTCTTTGACCACTCCAGCTGGCCAGATGACCTCGATGTACTCGCTATATTTGGTCTGGAGGAGCTGAAGTTGTTTACAGACCACTTTAGCCACATCCTGGAGGCATGTGAGGACTTCAAGTCCTCCACAGATGCAACACGTGAGTGGCTGGAGCTCAAGGTAGCTGTCCACCGCCACAGGTGCTGTGGCAGCGCCTGCTGCAAGCTACTGTTGGGAGGCCAGACCAGTCCTCCCACATCAGGGTAATGGTAGAGATAATGCTGGTCTTTCCCATGAGCTCATACAGCTGTGAGCAAGGGTTCTCGGCCATGAAGCACATCAAGTCAGACTGGCGGTCCAGCCTGTCCACCAGCATGATGAACAGTCTGATGCTGAGCTCTGTCCATGGCCCGGAGACTGAGCACTACATCGCATAGAGGGCCGTGAGCAAGTGGTGACACTCAAAAAGGTCAAGACGACCATTCAGTGACTGAAGAGGGAGGGTGAAGCAGAGAAAGTGAAGGCTGGGGAACACACATACTTTACTGTATATTATTGTTATGTTGTTTAATGGGGCAGCTGGTGGTGGATCGTAATCTCTAACTTAAAATGACTCAATAACCAGTTCACAATAACATTGTTCCCTCTTAGATATATTGTATACATGTGGTTAACATGTTCAATTAATACATTATAATGTTTGTCTGTTTTCATCAAGGTTTGTTCTTAACAAATTAAGTGTCTGTATCAGTCTCAGAAATACACAAATTACTTTAAAAGCACTGCAAATGATCTAGACCCATGTTGGCATATAAAAACATAAACATTAAAGTATTTCATTTTGGGAGGGTTCAAGTTCAGTTTGGGACAGTTGAAATTGCACTTCGGAACGGTACCGGGACGGTGAGGAAAAAAGTTAGTCGCGAGCCCTACCTGCCAGGCCAGTCACCTGCAGGAGAGAAGTGCAGGGAGGCAAACTCAGCTATGCACAGGCAGCTCCATTAAAGCGGCAATCTTAAGTTGAAACAATAATAAAGTGCCTCCCCGCCCATGTTTTGGCAAAAAGCTAAGGGATGGGGCTAGACAAATGTTTACCACGCTCAAATTCATAGACAGAGCTATGGATGCAAGGACTGAACATCCATAATATCAAAACTATAGTTTTAACCAGGTTGAGGCTATATGGTGTTTGTTTACATTTACTTTGTTTACAAACAATGGAGTAAATCAAGCTTATATTTTGGGTTCTGATGGGATAGGACAGTTGAACTAAGCTCATGAGGCATTTATAAGTTACAGTGGGGGAAAAAAAGTATTTAGTCAGCCACCAATTGTGCAAGTTCTCCCACTTAAAAAGATGAGAGAGGCCTGTAATTTTCATCATAGGTACACGTCAACTATGACAGACAAAATGAGAAAGCAAAATCCAGAAAATCACATTGTAGGATTTTTAATGAATTTATTTGCAAATTATATGATGGAAAATAAGTATTTGGTCAATAACAAAAGTTTCTCAATACATTGTTATATACCCTTTGTTGGCAATGACACAGGTCAAACGTTTTCTGTAAGTCTTCACAAGGTTTTCACACACTGTTGCTGGTATTTTGGCCCATTCCTCCATGCAGATCTCCTCTAGAGCAGTGATGTTTTGGGGCTGTCGCTGGGCAACACGGACTTTCAACTCCCTCCAAAGATTTTCTATGGGGTTGAGATCTGGAGACTGGCTAGGCCACTCCAGGACCTTGAAATGCTTCTTACGAAGCCACTCCTTCGTTGCCCGGGCGGTGTGTTTGGGATCATTGTCATGCTGAAAGACCCAGCCACGTTTCATCTTCAATGCCCTTGCTGATGGGAGGTTTTCACACAAAATCTCACGATACATGGCCCCATTCATTCTTTCCTTTACACGGATCAGTCGTCCTGGTCCCTTTGCAGAAAAACAGCCCCAAAGCATGATGTTTCCACCCCCATGCGTCACAGTAGGTATGGTGTTCTTTGGATGCAACTCAGCATTCTATATCATAGGTAGGACTGGTGGAGTTGTTGCACATGCAGCTAACAAAAACATATGGAAATGTCTGCTCTACCCAAAATTACAACCAAATAATTGCAGCATTACCGCAAAAATGGAAGAGTAAAGTGGAAGGGGGAAAAGCAAGGAACTTGTCTGTCGGCCCTGCATTAAAGAATATAATTGGTTAAAGAAAATTGTGATAAATTAAACTGGTATACATTTTTATTTAAGGACCAAAGGATTGACAGCCGTCCCATATAGATTGCAAAATAGTTGGGAAGAGATTTTTGACGTACCGATTCCATGGCATAGTGTTTATGAACTGATACGCAAAACGACGCCGGATTCAAAACTTAGACTTTTTCTATTTAAATTATATCAAATTCTTGCTACCAATAGAATGTTATTTATATGGGGGATACAATCTTCCCAGCTCTGCAGATTTTGCTGCGAAGAGACAGAATTATTAGATCTGATTAGATTTGTTTTGGTACTGTCCATTTGTAGCTTGTTTTTGGACACAGGTCCAGGAATGGCTAAATGATTGCAATATTTACCTGGAGCTAACCCTGCAGATAGCACTACTGGGTGATCTGAAAAGTCATAGCCAATCAATCAATAACATAATAATACTTTTAGCAAAAACATGTATTTTCAATCTGTAGAAACAATGAGAATTGAAGGGTTCAGAACTTTTGTAAAACATCACAGTTGAAAAATATATGGCAAATAGAAATCCAATATGGATGGTGTTAAGAGATCGATGGGTGGTGTTGAATGGAGTTGAAGGATGGGACTAATAACAACTAATAACAAGATAACTAATGTAAAGCATACCGTGTCCATAATAAGTATATAGGTTGAGAGCTTTTGTGAAAGAGCACAGTTAGAAAGATATGTGGTCCTCTGTAGCTCAATTGATAGAGCATGGCGCTTGTAACGCCAGGGTAGTGGGTCCGATCCCCGGGACCAACCATACGTAAAAATGTATGCACACATGACTGTAAGTCGCTTTGGATAAAAGCGTCTGCTAAATGGCATATTATATGGCATATAGAAGCAAACCGGATGGACATCATGAAAATTATTGGAGAGGTTGAGGGTAGAGGAAGTTCAGGAGTAAAAACAAACAAAATAGAATGATTGTAATATTGACTGTGTCCATAAAATGGATATAGTATGTATAAGCTGGAAGTAGAGGCCTAAGCATTGTTGTTCACTAGTTTACTCCAATTAGGGGTGGGGTTGGAAAGTAATAAAGGGAAATATATATTTTTAAAGGATATGTATATGTGTATGTATATATCTGCAAGAAAAAAAAACATATGGGGGATTGGAAGTGATGCAGACAATTACATTGATGGAAGTTACAATCTATCTGCAATATTAAAGCTGATATACCCCCCCCCCCCAAAAAAAAATATATTGTTTTTGACCAAGTGCGCATGTGCCTAATCCACCTCTTCTACACCTCCTGCAATATTAGTAATGGAATTAAAACACGCTAAATAAAGCATTCCTAGAATTATAAACTGGTTGGTTCGAGCCCTGAATGCTGATTGATATACCACGGCTGTCAGCCAGACTGTATACCATGGGTATGACAAAACATGTATTTATACTGCTCTAATTACGTTGGTAACCAGTTTATAATAGCAATAAAGCACCTCGGGGGTTTGTGGTATATGGCCAATATACACCAGCTAAGGCCTGTATCCAGGCACTCCACGTTGCACATAAGAACAGCCCTTAGCTGGGGTATAATGGCCATATACAACACCCACTCAGGCCTTATTGCTTAAATATACAATCAATCAATGTAAAAACTAGGGGTGTAAATGTTTAAACGTCTACACCCCTAGTAGGGAAATTGGGATCCCTAATGGAAAAATCCCCCCCCCCAAAATTAAAAGCTGGCTCACCTGCACTTTCTCTTCGGTAATGATGTGAGTGTGTGTTCAGTCTTAGGTCTGTTGAGTGAAGAATATCCTAGCCTATTCACTGATGATCGGCCCTGCTTTACGGAAGTTGCGAGGCATTGTAAGCCAAGAAATTGCGAAATTCCAAATGATTAGCAAAATGTTTAAATGAGGCAAAAAGATCACACTTCTACAAAATCGAACAATCCAAAGAAACGTTGGCACTCTCTGAAACTGCTGGGCTAAAGCAAAAGGCTCATAACCAAAGCAAGTAACGTCAATCTGAGCAAAAATTGTCACTGACAGAGCTTCAGAGTTCCTCTGTGGAGATGGGAGAACCTTCCAGAAGGACAACCATCTTTGCAGCACTCCACCAATCAGGCCTTTATGGTAAAGTGGCCAGACGGAAGCCACTCCTCAGTAAAAAGGCACATGACAGCCCACTTGGAGTTTGCCAAAAGGCACCTAAAGAACTCTGACCATGAGAAACAAGATTCTCTGGTCTGATGAAACCAAGATTGAACTCTTTGGCCTGAATGCCAAGCGTCACGTCTGGAGGAAACCTGGCACCATCCCTACGTGACGCATGGTGGTGGCAGCATCATGCTGTGGGGATGTTTTTCAGTGGCAGGGACTAGGAGACTAGTCAGGATCGAGGCAAAGATGAACGAAGCAAAGTACAGAGAGATCCTTGATGAAAACCTGCTCCAGAGCGCTCAGGACCTCAGACTGGGGCAATAGGTTCACCTTCCAACAAGATAACGACCCTAAGCACACAGTCAAAACACAGGAGTGGCTTCGAGACAAGTCTCTGAATGTCCTTGAGTGGCCCAGCCAGAGGCCGGACTTCAATCCAATCTAACATCTCTGGAGACCTGAAAATAGCTGTGCAGCGACGCTCCCCATCCAACCTGACAAAAATTAAGAGGATCTGCAGAGAAGAATGGGAGAAACTCCCCAAATACAAGTGTGCCAAGCATGTAGCGTCCTACCCAAGAAGACGAGGCTGTAATCACTGCCAAAGGTGCTTCAACAAAGTACTGATTAAAGGGTCTGAATACTTATGCAAATGTGATATTTCAGGGGCTACAGTGGACTATGCTTTGGAGGGGGAGGGGCAGGTAGCCTGCACACATACTGGCAAAGATTTTCAGCTGGCCGCTTACACTGGATTTTTGTTGTTGTTGTGGTAATGGGGGGGGGGGGGGGGGAGATCCGGAATGTAAAATAACATTATTAACCGGTTCCCATGCTTCAAAAAAATTATGCTTCTGTTCCGGAACAGTATAGATCACTTTAGTTCCCAGTTCTGATTCTGTCCCTCGAAAAATTGTATTTTCCGATTCTGTTCCCTGAACCGGTTCCAACCCCTGGTGGTAGACGTAACTTCATTGCCCGGCCCTAGCATTCACACATACGCAATAGGACCATTGTTCTTCATTGTGAATAGACTGGGAATTTTAAGATTTTATCTTACCCTTTAATGGA